TAATCTCCAACTCCTGAGCTAAAGTGATCCACCTGACTCAGCCTTCCAGAATGCTGGGATTATAGGCCTGAGCCACCATGCCTGGCCAAGTTTGCTTTCTTATGTACCTTGTGAGAGCTCTTCCTTCAATCACCCCCCAACACAACTTACCCTGGAATCTCCAAACTACAACTCTTGGCTGAGAATCCATGAATTGCTGTTTGTTCGTTACATAGACATTTTAGAGAGTCCACCTCCACTGGGTGGTGAGGAGAGCTATACAAGGTTTTAAGAGACTTAATATTCAGGCTTTGGTTCATCTTTAGTAACTGAAATGTAAGGGGCTTGGAATGCTGATTCTAAAAGAAATCGATGGGTATTGTTTGAAAGAGAAGAAAAATAAATGACTTCTGCATCATTATATGTCATTTTTATTAGAAATTTCAATCATCGGCCAGGCGCAGCTGCTCATGCCTATAATCCTAGCGGTCTGGGAGGCCGAGACGAGTGCATTGCTTGAGCTCAGGAGTTGGAGACCAGCCCCAGTGCAAGGTTGGGGCAATATTGATATATGGGGCATATATAATTTCCCCATATATGTAGTACATTAATAAGTTTGTGTGCCTTTTCTCTTATTAATTTGGTTAGTATAAGTTATTAGTTGGTATCCAGGAAACCTTTAAAGGATTAAGTGGAACTTTTTCCTTGGCCTCTGCCTTAAGAGTGACTGTTATTGGAGGAAGAGGGTCTGGCTGACAATGACAGTCAGCCAGTATGCAGAGACAGGGAGAAGTTCTCAAACTTGGAAAAGCAAGACCCTGTTTCTAATAAAAACAAAAACTGAAGCAAGAGGATCACTTCAGCCCAAGAGTTGGAGGTTGCTGTGAGCTATGATGCCATGACACTCTACCCAGGGCAGCAGCTTGAGACTCTGTCTCAAAAATAAATAAATAACTAAAATTTCAATCATCATTGCTTGTTTCTTCAACATTTCCCATAATATATGACAAACTACTACAGAAAATAAATCATGATTTTCATCAGCATGTGCTGAAAGCTGTAAAAAGATTTCCGGTTGGCTCGGAGCCTGTGGCTCAAGCGGCTAAGGC